TTTATAGATGAGGAAGGAGAAAGAGGGTTTATAGATGAGGAAGGAGAAAGATTTTGATGGAGAAGATGAGAGTTGGTCTTGTGGTTTGTGATAGGGTTTTTTTTGATTTTGAGTTTTTGGTATTGCACATTTAGAATTTTCTATTTTTTTAACAAGTAAGGGTATTATAGTATTTATATATTGAAAATTTTAATTTGGTCTTGCACAAGTGGAATTAGTCTTGCATATAGCCGCAGCCTTTTATTTATTATTTTCTTTAAAAAACATATGTATTATTGCTCAATTTTATTTATTATTTTCTTAAAAATATGTATTATTGTTATTTCCCTTTCGGTTAAATACATAAATTATAGTCATGTTTTACTTATTGTTACTTTCTCCTATTAATAGGGAATTAGAGGGATTAGTGGGGTCTCATTATCCCAAAAAATTAGCTCTTAACTCCATACAAAAATAATAATAATAATTTAAACTCTTCTTTTAATTTAAACTCTTTTTTTTAATTTAAAAAATAATTTAGACTCTTCTTTTACAAATTATCTCGTTCCCAATTTTCTTTTTTCTTTTTCTTTTTTTTTCATTTTTTTCCGTCAAGGGTCTCGTTCTCAATTTTCTTTTTCCTATTTTCTTTTTTTTTTTACTTTTTTTTTTTCCCTCAAGGGTCAGACTGTTCCGGAGCCGTTCAGACAATTCCTGCACCACAACTGGCACATATAATGTGAAACTAATTAGAGTCACTTGTAAAATCATTCAGCTAATTATGCAATTAAGAAAACGAAAGGCTGATGCCTGATTTATACGCACTCATATTCATGATTTCCTTCCCTTCTCTATTGCTCCTGCTTGATGACTAATCATTTTATTGAAACCAGTACCTGGACACTTTCGACCACGAAATAAATAGGGTAATTAAACCACAGTAAAGACTGTTGGAAGGTGGAATTCGTCAGAGATTGTTGGACGAGGAACAGCCGCCAGCGAAGGAGCCACCGACGGAGGAGGAGCATCCACCACTGCGGAAGCCAAATAAGAAACCACCACCACCGTAGCCGCACACTAAGCCGCGTCGGCCTCCGGGCGAACGTCCTTCTTGTAGCCGAATTGCTTTAATAAAATATAATAATATTCAATAAAATGGGAGCATCAGAGAAGAAAAATAGCTTTAACGAAAACACAAAAAATAATGATGGAAAGACACCAATGACAATCACAACATAAGAAAAACAATAACAAAACTGGCAAATTTGACCCCATGAAATTAATACTAGGAATCAGACTAACCAATACCGATGTGTAGACCGATCATCTAAAAATCCCATTCGAAAAAAAATATTAAGACCGACAAAATTTAAAAAATCATTTTAAATTCGTTCATGGGAAATGAAATTGGAAAAACAAATTAACAGAGTTCGCTAGCAAATCTCCTATAACTGTTTCATTCTTATGGAAATAAAATATAAAAGGGGAGAAATGGAGTCAACAATTTGTTTATGGAGAGTAGAGAGAAACAATAGAAAGAAGATAATGGCAAATACAAATGGGCGAGAAAGTCGGCGAAGTATACTATTGGAGAAGAAACGATGCGCCAAGTGACGGGGCATAGGACAAAGCCGCGGCCAAAATTGAAGGGAAGGTCCTTACCAGAGGCCCTAATGGAGGCGAGGTTGTCCGCGTAGGCGGCAGAAGCGGCCCATCGCTGATCGCTCTTCCCGTCGGCAATCGGTGGAGTATAAGCTTAATTAAGAGAGGCGGCGGCGGACGCTGGATGAAAGGACGGTGGCCAACGAATGTGAGGGGAACAACGTGGGAAGGGGGAGAAGAGCACAAATAAAATCGTAAAAGAAAAGGAGAAGGCGGCGGGTCCCACGGATTGACGGAGTGCAAGGAGAAGTAGATAAATACGACGAAACGACGTCGTTTTACAGGCTTGGTGGCAAAAAAAAAAGGGAAAAGAAAATAGGAGGGGTAATGATGAGAAGTTCCGCTCTTTTATATATACTAGTAATCGCGCTCGTGCGTTGCACGGTGTAGCATAACAAACGTTGAAATAATAATTGTTGTATAAAAATTAAAGCATTCAATAAATCAAAAAATAAATAAATAACCGGGCAAAACATTAAAAGCTAACTTGTACAAAATTAGTAACAATTTGCATCTTGCTTTCATTGTGGTGGATTAATAAAATTGGAGTTAATACATAAATTATTACAATGAGAATAGTGAGTTAAAATTTTCATCCAAGAACATTGAGTAATCTCAATAATAAATATGTAGATTTGATGGAGCAATTTCATGATTTTTGATAAACATATTATCAGTATTCATAAAAGATTAAACCACCTCCAAGGCACGATGCCTATCCATGTTTGTTAAGAACCTCCAACTATTTTCAATCTTTCATAAGGAAATTGTTCTTGGCTGCATGAACATCCCCATTCTTGTCAAATTCTTGACCGTGTTAAACTCATCTTGATACAGAGCAAGAGGTTGGCTTTCCTCTCCTTTTTTCTTTTCTTCCTTTTATTTTCAATAAGCAGGAAGAGCTTGGTCAGAAGAAACACAATAGAGAGAAAAAAAATGAAAATAAGGGAGGGGAAAGTGCAGAGATCGATAATGAGGGAAATTGAAAATTCAATTCCTTCTCCAAACATATAAAAATCCCCAAAAATAATCGAGCTGTGGATTCTACTTTTTGCCTCCATCAGGTTGTAGCAACAAATTCTTATCTGCGATTTAGACAAACAAGAAAAACTTGCACAAAAATAATTTATTGAATTAAAATAAAATATAGCGGGTTACAAACTCTAATTTAATCCTCTGATTCTTCTCTCAAGAACAATATATGTTGACTTTGAATTTCGGAGTCGGGTCGTTGACTTGATCTTCTCCGGATTTGATTTTGAACTTGAATAACGTCTTCCGAGGGTCTTGCGACTTGAATCTCGGATCGAACGCAGAACTTTGACGGGTTTTGACTTGAAGATCTTGGAGTTCTTGATGGATTTGACCCTTCAATCTTCCTTCGATCTTGATTTGTTGAAGAACGCCCTCGATTTGATGAAGAACGCCTTGAATTTGATGAAGATGACTTGAATGTTGTAGAGAGAATTTTCTCCTACGATTTTTATTCTTCTTGAGTTGTGTTTTGAATTGTGTAGAGAGGGTCCCTATTTATAGTGGTAGAGTCCTACTTAAAGTCTACTTGATGACATGGCGCGATTTGATTGGCTCTCTTTAAATTGATATTTATCTCTTATAACTTGGAAGAGAAGAAATAATCCTATTGGCCAATAATTAATTGATAATTATATCCATAACTTATTTTGTAAGATAAATTATAATTTAATTTAGACACAATTTAATTGGCTAATTTAATTAACCAATTAATTAATTTTATGCGTCTACACAGGTATCTGCAAAGCAATGAAGAAACACAAATATTGAATTTGGTATATTAGGAGAAATACTTACCATGAGATTGCTTCTGATTTTCGATTTGCTCCATTGTTGCAGAAAAAAGAAGCTAATATATTTATACAACAAATAAGCTAATAAGGGTAAGTGGAGAAGTGGAGGGAGAAGTTTCTACACAAGTTTTGCAGTTAGAGATACGTGGGCAGTTTTCTATACAGAGTGGGACGTAAGAAAAAAAAAGAAAAAGGGAAAAAAAAAATGGCTAAAAATTAAAATTTCAAAAATACCCCTAGGTTTACATTTAGGGTTTCGGGAAAAACCTTTCTTTTATATATAAAGATATATATATATAGGGTAAATTACAAACACCCCCTGAGGTATGGTCAAATTACGAAAACCCCCCTCTTGTTTGGATAATTACATCTACCTCCCTCAACCATGATTTTTTCCTACACCTCCACCCTTATGGTGTCAAATTCAACATAATCATCTAGATTTCGTGGAATGTGCTCTAGTTTCTACTCGTTTTGTGTAAAAATACAGTTACTAGTGCACCACAAACTGATATATACAAGCCAAAAAAACACATATTATCATCATCTTGCTTCAAAATGTATAGTTCGAATAGGATAAAAACGGGTACAAAAGTGATAATATTCCATTTAATCTCGAAGATTCCACTAAATTTGAGGAGTTGAGGGGGTGGTTGTAATTATCCAAACAAGAGGGGGGTTTTCGTAATTTGACCATACCTCAGGGGGTGTTTGTAATTTACCCTATATATATATATATATATATATATATATATATATATATATATATATATATATATATATATATATATATATCTTGGGGGGGGGGGGCCCTATTTTCCCCCTTTTCTATTTTCTCTCCTCTTTTTTTTCCGCCCATTTAATACCGAAACGGCGCCGTTCCTTTCTTTCCCTCCGATCCCCACCCCGCATTCTTTTCTTTTTGTTTAATTCTGAAAGCAGCTCGATTCCGAAAATCCTCGGTGTGGCCCCGTTAACTCAATTTCTTTTTGCTTTTCTTTCTTTCTCTCCACTCTCCAATCGGGAGGCAGCCGACTTGGAGAGAACATCCTCTCTCACCTCTATCTCCGGCGCCGCCTCTCTCAAAAGTTCCTGCACTACCGCCCTGCGATAGCCGACCACGAGAGGCAATCGAGAGGGGCTCGCCGCTTCCGGCGTCGGCTAGCATAAACGCCGCCGCCTCTGCCGCCTACACGGACGACCGCCTTTATGAAGTATGTGCACTCTCCCATTTTTCTGCCCCCAAGTTAATTACCTACTCCACCTATTTTACAAAAGCTTTTTAATTTGAAGATAATGTATGTATACAATTAGGAATTTCATCTCAGAGAGTTTTGATTTTAAATATGTTTTCAATTTTTATTTTTTTAAAGAAATCTTTGATTTTCTGGTGCAGGAAATAACCAACTCTGGCGGTGTTTCTTGGATTTTAAGTTCAAGAATTCTTTTGGGGGTGGTTTTTTTGGTGATTGTGTATACAGGTTCATTTTGCTGAAATGTTATATAAGCCTTGGTAATTGATAATTTTTTGAGATGGATGAAGGAACTTTAGTTAGGCTATCACCACTGAGGCCTGGGGGAGGCGGCGGCGGTGGTGGTGGTGGCGGCTTGAAGTCACCATCGTCGGGGAAATTAACTCCGAGGGGTTCCCCCTCTTTCAGGAGATTAAACTCGGGCCAAACTCCTAGAAGAGACGCACGTAGCGGTGTGTTTAGCTCTCACTGTCTTAGAGGTAACCGCATTGTCCTTTGGTTTGGGCGTACGCCGGATTCTATTTCCAGTCGAAATGGGCACACGGTGACAACAAGGAAGATCTCTTCAGCGGTGGCTATGGCGGCGAATCGGGCGGTGATAAATCCGAACCGCAGATCAAGAATCGGAGGAGGGAACTTAATTGCTAAATTCGATTCTGCGGCAGTTGAGTTGAAAAACGATACTAACGAGTTGAGTTTGAATAAGAGTATTGTGGATGTGGTTCTTGCGAAGAACACTACATTGGATAAAAAAAAAAAAAAAAGCCCTCGAAGAGGAGAAGTAAGAGATCTCTACGTAGGAAGAGACCAGTTAGTAGTAAGCCAAAGGCGATGGTTGAAGAGGAAGTGGAAAGCGAAGTTGATTTGCAAACAGAGGAAATAATACCGAAGAAAAATACGACTTACGGATTTCTTGTGGGCCCGTTTGGATCTGTGGAGGACTCGATTTTGGAGTGGAGTGCTGAGAAAAGGTCGGGTACTTGTGATAGGAAGGGAGCTTTTGCTCGTTTAGTTTGGTCAAGAAAGTTTGTTTTGATCTTCCATGAGCTGTCTATGACTGGAGCTCCACTCGCCATGACTGAATCTTCCATGAGCTGTCTATGAAGGGGCGAGAAGGGGCGAGTTTTTTTGGTGATACAGGTGCTCGGAACTGATTCAGGAGGAACAAGAGAGATTGTTGAACACAATATAACCGGTCTTCTTCATCCTTTAGGTAGGTCGGGGTCCTGAATTCTTGCGAACGATCTTCAATTCTTGCTCGAGAATCCAAAAGCAAGGCAAGAAATAGGATTAAAAGGTAGAGAAAAAGTTGAGAAAATGTACTTGAAGAAGCACATGTTTCAGAAGTTTGGTGAGGTACTCTACAAGTGCATGAGAATAAAGTAGGCATTTTGCAGGAGATTGATTCATCAACATTCTATATAAATAGTGAAATCTCTGTTATTTTCTACTGAAATTGAAATAAATAATCTTGATAGGTGCGTTGGGGAGCATATGTCTTTGGTTCTCACTTTCGGTTCTTAGCTATTCTGTAATTACCTCTCAATTGTTAGCTCTTTAGGTGTTCGCATGTATTTCGTTGAATCGTGTGCCCGCTTATTTGAGCGTACATGTCACATTTATTTGTCTGCTTGCTCGTGTCCTGCGTTTATTTGCTTTAATTGTGGAACAGGATTGGCATGGGTGCATGCTCAATTGGCAACGTCAAGAGTGCATCCTCGGTGCTGCCAGGCGTACGTCGGGAGGTTCTTAAAATTTTATGGTCTTACTGTATGGATTTTGATGCCCTTGTACATTTGTTTTCGCCGTAGGTGGAAATTTTCATTTACGCCTTGTGAAGCTGTTTTACCTCGTTCTTTTTCCCAATTCATGAATTCTTGACATGACAGTTGTCCTCCCTCTATAAGATAAATGGAACAAATTTAGCCATACTTTGCCGGTTTTAATGTTGCATTCCATACCATATAACAATAATCTAACATAAATTTAACAATAATCTAACATAAATTTATGCTACGAATAAAAGATTGAGGTATTACTCCCTCAAGCAAATATTTACGAGTTCGAAAGAAATCAAAATTTATACCTTATGAAGAAATTAACTAGGCACCGACACCGCACCTTGTGCGGTGCTTCGAGACTAGTATATATATATATATGTATATATATATATATAAAGTTTATTTAAATCATAAAGTGCAATAGTAAGATTATACTAAGTTATATATTTAAATTGACATTCAAATGCATTATTTACACATTATAGGATTATGTAATGTAGTTTGCATCCCTATTAAATGTAGTGCATGTCTTTTTTTTTTCTTTTTTTTAATGAAGGAACCGCAGCTAATTATATATGTGCATTGTGTAAATCATATAGTACATGTCTTGTACAAATGTAGTGTTGTCGGCTCCTAATTGTAGTATTATCTACAAATACTCAATAAAATAAATGTGTGTATGTTAAGTTATATTAAATGTTTATATTAAGTTAAACACTTGCTCATTACTTATATTCAATCTACATTGGTACATGTATCGACTTGTATTAATCTACTTGTAAAAAAAGATGTAAGTCTATCATTCACGCGCAAGACTATACAAGAGTTTTTAAGTGTAGTATCTTTAAATATACTCGATAAAATAAATGTATGTATTTTAAGTTTAATTAAATTAAATTAAATAAGTATGTGCTTTATTAAGTAATAATTATTAAATAAAATAAATGTATGTATTTTATCTACAAACGTAGTATGCCGTCTTTTAAGTGTAAATATATATGTATTTTTAATCTTAAATATGACGAAATATTTAATTGTAGTACATATTTATATACTAAATTTTATTAATATACCATAAACTAAGTTTGTTCTCGTGAGTGACTAGCTACTAGTCATGAGCTTTGATTGATACAAGTAGTGTGTTTTAGTTCTCTTCTTCTATTTTCTTCCTTCATTATCATTGAATATTTTTCAAAGCAAATTAAACTCAACAAATCGAACCTAAAAATAAACTTATAATTTAGCAGAAATCAAAACATGATGGCAAAATTATTTCACAAAAATAATTCGCCTTGAAATAGATAAATCAAGGAAACATGTAAAAATTAATAAGTGAAACGAAAATACCAAACACGATCGAGTTAAAAGTATTCAATCAAGTTCTTGAACAAAGAAAGAAATTCTTCCCCCAAACAGAAATGTACACAATTTCCACCTTGTAAGCTAGCTAGGTAGATAGACTCAATTGTTGATAATAATGCATCTGAATTTAGCATGAGAAACACTTATCATCTATGTGCTCGAATTTTGGTACATGCACCAATAATTATTATATAAAAAAAATTAGGCTACATCAACTTTATTTTTGCTCCATAATTTAACATTTAAAATTATTTTATCAAAAAATTAGAAGAAGAAAAATAACAGGTTAAAATAATATTAAAAAAAAAATGTATGTTGTTAGAGAAGAGAAAAAAAGACGAGTGTGAGAAGAAAAAAAAAAAAAAGGGGGAGGGGAGAAGAAAAATGGAGAAAAGGTCAAAACATGTGGGTTTTGTGGAGTGTTGTGGTATAAGATGTAATTTGCATATTTATTAAGGGTGATTAAGACTTTTCCAGTGAAGTAGGGAGTGATTCAAAAGAAAAAATAAAAAGTAGGGAGTGAACAGAGAATTTTAATTTACATTCTTCCTTCTGCTCTGCATCAGCAGGACAAATTCTTGTGATAGAGAGGAACAACCAGTTCGAAAACGGTGAATAAAATTTTATTAAAACAATTAAATGATAACCTAAAGTACACGTGGCGGCAAGAGGAGACCGTCAGCAACCACTCTCTCTCTCTCTCTCTCTCTCTCCTCCACCAGATCCGCACTTCGCCGCCGACATCGGGCATCCACCGATGACAACTGACTGTTTTAGACAATTACAACCGGTTTCCGGGAGATGAGATTCTTACATGGAATTATAAGGCGTTAGCCATATTTATATATTCAAATATATATACACAAAAACGAAAATGAAGAAGAATTGGAAATTGGAATGAATTTATTTTATTTTATTTAAAAGACTGAAAGTTGTAATCTGCTGACTTTTGATATTTTTTCATTTTTCATTTTTGATAAGAATCTGACTTTCAATGTTGATACTTGCTAATCATAGTATACAGACAGAAACAAAAATAATTTAAAAAATTTAAATTAAAATTAATTAATATTATAACGCAGGATAGATAGTAATTACTAATTAGACACAATAATCTCAAATTTAAATTAAAAATAATTAATATTACAACTCAAGGATAGATAGACAGTAATTAGCCCTAAATGGGCTGTCTGAAAGCCCACCAGACTATCATCTGGAAAAGGCACACCAAAAAGCCCACCACATTGCATATCTGCACAAAGAAAGAATTCAAAACATTAAATATACTAGGATTATTAAATTAATTATATATATTTTTTTCTATTAAAAAATTAACTTAATTAAAAAAACAAATAACTTACGACAATTACAACATCTTTACTAGCCAGTCCAAATGCTAGCCACACGAGCCCATTTAGGGCTAGGCAGCCTAGCAACTGGATTGGCACAAAAGTGTTGTTCCGGGTTTTGAAAACGTCAACCTGTAAAACGGAAGATTCGATTAGTAGAGTATAATGAATTAAATAAAGAAAATGTCCTATATTTAAATACCTACCACGGCTTTTATCGGTCCCGCGAATACCACAACTGAGAAAATAGTGCCAACCCACCCGACTATCGAACTTCTAAACTGGCCGTGGGTTGTAAAATATGTGACGATAATCGTCACAGATATCACAATCAACCCAAGGCCAGTTATCTTCGCAATTTTTATCTACAAAATACAATGAAAATAGATTAGCTTTTACAATGTTTTATGATATTTATAAAAAAAAAAAAAAAAAAAAAAAAACCAAAATTACGATATACTTACCCTAATATTATGCGGTGCATAATAGTAGTATATAGAAATATAAATTATTTCTATTATACACCCAAAGAGATTTATGGATATTATTAGACCATTACGGTCTAATAATCCATAATAAACCCAAAGGGTAGAAGAGAAAAACGCAACCAGGTAGGGCATAAATGTATGCCCTCCGGATGATTTTTCTCTCCAAATTTTTCGGAACGTATATCTGCAAAAAAAAAATATGTATGTTAGCCTTTATCAATAAATATTAATTTTGTTAAAAAAAATACAAATCAGATATAAAACCTTACATAGGAACGAGATAAACGATGAATGACATTATGTTCCCTGTAAAAAAAATGTAAATATTCATTCATATTCAAAAAATAAATAAATACAAACAAAGATAATAACAAAATTTTGTACCTAATATCCCGAAAGTCAATATTTTCTTATTGTTGTAAATTGCCATCGAGAGAGTGTGTGTTAGCGAGAGAGTGAGTTGTAATTAATGGACAATTTGAGAGAGAGAGAGAGAGAGAGAGAGACCACGAGAGAGAGAGAGAGAGAGAGAGAGAGAGAGTTGTGTTATGATAAAAATGTTGGCAATTATTAGTCGTTTATATAATCAGGTGATCGTGTAATTAGTACATATTTAGTAAATATATACATACACACGTCATTTACTCATCAGTTAATTATTTATAAAAATAGAAACTATGATTGGTGAACTTTCACACATATATTAGAGTAAAAAATGCAATGATAATAATGATGATAATAATTAATAATAATAATAATAATAATAATAATAATAATAATAATAATAATAATAATAATAATAATAATAATAATAATAATAGTAGTAATAATAATAATAATAATAATAATAATAATAATAATAATAATAATAATAATAATAATAATAATAATAATAATAATAATAATAATAATAATAATAATAATAATAATAACATATTTAGTAAATATATACATACACACGTCATTTACTCATCAGTTAATTATTTATAAAAATAGAAACTATGATTGGTGAACTTTCACACATATATTAGACTGAAAAATGCAATGACAATAATAATGATGGTAATAATTAATAATAATAATAATAATAATAATAATAATAATAATAATAATAATAATAATAATAATAATAATAATAATAATAATAATAACATATTA